TCATTACTTTTCTAAAAATACATTCAATGGCACTTTTTTTCCAAGTAAATTTTTTAATCAATAATGCTTTTAGATTATTGATTTTAAAAATGTATTGTCTCTTGAGAACAGAGAAGCAAAGACATATGCACATTTCAAATATAAACCCACATTATGGTGAATGCTTATTGATGATATGGTGTAGATCATTTAAAAAAAGGGACCTCTTAGACTTTTCCAATTGCAAAAGTACAAAACATATTTCTAAAGGTGAATACAAAAGTTGTTTATACATAATAGCTCATCTCAGGCAGTATTATCAAGAATAACTTGATTGACTGAATTTATAATCATAATCCTAGTTTCATAATTTTGTTACATAGCTGTTGCTTAGATTCTTTATAATCAGTCATTTTCATGGGAATATCCTCATTTGACAGCGACAGAACAACTTAAGAAGTGTACATTACCAAGGGGACGTAAAATTGAATCAGTCTCACCACCAGATCAGACTGTATTAAATCATAATGATATCTTAGTTTATAAATGTAAAGGAAAATCTGAAACCAGACAATCAACCTGCAAAAATGGAAGGTGGGATCCCACGCTAACTTGCACAGGTAAAGTCTTGTTTACAATGCTTTTAAAATCGTGTGCTCTTTTTCCTAACTTTTAAAAGCAGTATTGTTACGTCTTTTAAAATTTTTTACAGAGGTATTATTACAAATGCTTAGATTTGAACAAGCTACAAGGTAATTCAAAACCCAGTGGAAACACTGTTTCTAAGTAATAATTATATCATCTGCATTTGTTGGCTATATAAAAAACACACAGAAATTTGGTGGATTTACCTTAACATCTGGGTACTAAGTGTGTTCATTACATTTGGACTCCCATTGCTTCATTCATTTAATTACACACAACCAACCTATACATATGCCTATGTCTTTATCATCTATTTATCTGTTTTTCTTTCTCTGTCTTAAAAACCCTGTGACATCTTGGCACCTCTAATTTCAAATGTATAGCAGAGTTCATTCCATTTTATAGAGTTTCTTTTCTTTAATTTTCTTCTCCAACTATGATAATCCATGTGCTGTTAATGTTAACACTCTTATCAACATATACAGTTCTAGCATATACAGATAGTAGTTTTACATAACAGTCCTAAAGCAAATCTACTATCTGCAGATCCACATGGTAATACTTCTTCATTTTTAAGGTGGTAATATTCATATGCCATTCTGCAGGAGAGAAAGATGAGGTTTTCTGCTCCCATAAAGATTTGCAGCCTCAGAAACCCTGTGCATATCAACATGAGTCGAAATCAACTCCATGGTACTTAAAACAAACAACAATATTTATATGCAGTGAAGTGCACCTGTTCCTCTGCATTGTATCCCAGAAGCTTTGTAGTTTTAGTATTTACATTTAGATACATTATGTATCTTACTTTGCTTTTTGATGAAGTGCTAAGTAGGGATTGGTGCTTTCTTTTTTACACAGATAGCTAGTTCTAAAAGCATGTCTGGAAAAAGAACTTTGAAATGAACAGCAATTGATTATTTCTGGACTCTTTTCAGCTCAGTTCCTTATGCCCAAATTGCCTTGATAACTTCTTAGTAAGTTGTGAAGCCTGGTATTTATTCTCAGATACAGTTTTCCTTTTCAAGATTGGTTAAAGATTGGCAGTACAGTGGATAAGAACTTGGCTGCTAATAAAAAGTTTTGCAGATTGAACCCACCAGCCACTCTGCAAAAGAAAGGTATGACAGTCTGTTTCCATAAAAATGTACAGCCTTGGAAATCTGGTGGGGTAGTTAGTTCTGCCCCATCCTATAAGGTCATTATCATCTGGAATTGACTCAGCAGCACAAGATTTTAGTTTCAAGACTGATTTACCTATTCTGGCATTTGCATTTCAATACTAGTTTTAGAAAACAGTACATCAATTTCTAGAAAATATCCTAGGAAATGAAAGAGGTAGTTAGACAATGAAAGAGATGACATCAAATGTACAGATAAATTAGTAGAATTAACTTCTTAATCATATTGGGTTTCCAATCCATAGACATGATATATATCTGTTTCATTTTTCTCAGTAAATTTTTTAGTGTAGGAGGTGTATTGTTGTTGTTGTTAAGTGCCATAGAGTTGGTTCTGATTCATAGTGACCCTATGTAGGGTTTCCAAGGAGTGGTTGGTGACTTTGAAATGCCAACCTTGTGGTTCAAACTGAACTTGAGGTCAAGTGCTTATCCTATGAAGCCACACCAGGTGTATAGCAGTTGCAAAAATAATTACATATCATTTACATTTTTGTTATTTAAATGTTATTTTTAAATTAAATTTTACATTTTTGGGTGCCAAGTATAAAGGGATGCTGTCGGGGACCCGCCTCGACATTGGGGTTCAGTTCATGAGGAGAGGATACCTGACGGCGATTCATATATATCAAGAATACATAAAAGGAGACAAAGAGAGAGACAAAGAGGCACCCCAAAGCCAGGGTGGATACATCACTGGTGGGCAGGCCTGGGAGTACAGGCATCGTGGCCTCTGCAGGCAGCAATTCACTGCCCTGCAATCTTTACTGCATGCCTTCCAACCCATAATGCACACCTGGGGAGGCCCGGGCCTCTGCTTTATTCAGGGGAGGAGCTTCACACCAAGCTGGGAGGGACTTAGGCAAGGTACAGCTAACATCAGTACTTTTCCAGACATTCAGGTAACTTTACATAGTACTTCACTGGTTCGAATCCCAGGCCAGCAACTTGGATTCTCAGTCCAAATTAACATATCTATAGCCCCTGAGCATAGTTGGGGGAAGGTGAGAGATAAAGACAAAATCTTGGGCGGAGTCCTGCTGCTTTGGCTTCCTGAGCCAGGTCTGCAGGAGGACTCCAGACGCCCAGGTGAATGGGCTGCACCTGGAAAAGCATTAGGGTGGATGGGTTCTTTGTCTATAGAACAAAGAGCTGTGAAGTAGCTAAGATATTTTTGGTTAATCCTTTGGAGAAAGGCTTAACCTTGCAACATTTAGTCTTGGCTTTAGGAAAATACCACATTTATCTGTGGATTGTCAAAGGCTCCAGTGTATTAATTTAATATATATACCTGAATATTAATATGAAAGCAATTTGCCATTAACTGCCAGTGGCCTCATTTGTTACACTCGGCCCTAGAGGGCCTCGAACCTCTGGCTAGTCTTACACGGTCTGCAACAGGATGCATTTGATTTTGTGTATTCATTTGTATCCTGAAGGAATGTTAAACTCCCTTACTTATTTCAGTTATTACTTTGTAGATCTCTTTGAACTCTCTGTAAACAATTATATCATTGAAAATTAAAAGTTTATTCCTCTCTGTACCATTTATAGATTTTTTGGTTGTTTCCTTAACTTCGAACATTGTCTAGAACCTCAGTGTTGAAAGGAAGTGTTGAGGGCCAATATTCTTGATCTGTCCCTGTCCATTGAATATTTAGCTACAATTATGATAATAGCTTTCCAAAAACAAAATGAGACAAATTCACTGCCCAACATTGAGCTGGTTCCAACTAACAGTGACCCTATGAGACAAAGTAGAACTGCCCCACAGGATTCCCGAGATTGGATAGTTTCATAGAAATTGACTGCTTTATCTTTCTTCCATGGAGTGAGAACCCCTGACTTTCGGGTTAGCAAGAAAGCACTTAACCACTGCACCACCAGGATTCTTTTAATCAGTCTTTTCAAGGAAAATCAGATATAGAAAGCATCTACTGGGTTTCACAATTTATTGTGAAGCTATATTTATCAAGGCAATGATTTTGGGCAGAAAAGTAGATAAATAAATGAACTGAACATTGTTATTCTTAAGTACCGTTGAGTTGGTTCTGACCCATAGAGACACTCTACAGAGTTTCTGAGGAGCAACTGGTAAACTGTTTACCTTGTGCTTTAAGCGACTTTGCAATAAGGTGCACTAACCCCCAGAACATAGTCTCAAAATATAACAGCACCATTATATTCAATTACTTTTCATTTCAAAAATTTTCACACATATTTTTAGTACAACTGGCTGTCCATATTATAAAAGATCACCATTCCTACTTGACACTTCACTGAAAAATGATGTTGTTAAGTGCCATCAAGTTGTTTTCAACTCATAGAGGCCCTACATGGTTTCCAAGGAGCGACTGGTGGGTTTGAACAACCTTGTAATTACCAGTCCAGTGCTTATACTACAGTACCCCACTAAGGCACTAAGGTATATAGTTGTTGTTAAATGCCATTGAATTGGTTCTGACTCACAGAGACCTTGTATAGGGTTTCTGAGGAGCAGATGTTAGGTTTGAACTGCTGACCTTACAATTCAAACTGACTTTGTGATCCAGAGCATTGTCCTGCAGCACCACTCCATGACTCCCATTAATCATTGTTATGGTTCTTGTTGTTAAGTGTCCTTGAATTGATTCTGACTCATGGAGACCCTGTATAGGGTTTCTGAGGAGCAGCTTGTGAGTTTGAACTGCCATCCTTGTGGGTTAAATTGACATTGCAGAGAGAAGCAAATCAATTTCTTGTGAATCAAAATATTGTGGTATTGGGGAAGAATATTGAATATACCACAGACTGCCAGAAAAAAATAATAAATCTATTTAGTGAGAAATGCAAAAAGAATTCTTCTTAGAAGCGATGGTGCTTTGTCTTGCTTATTTGGACATGCTATCTAGAGAAACCAGTCCATGGAGAAGGACTTTATGCTTGGTAACATAATGGTTAGAAAAACAGGAGGATGACTCTCAACAGTACGGATTGCTATAGAGACTGCAGCAATGGACTCAAATATAGGAAAGAAAGTGAGGATGGCACAGAACCGGATAGCTTTTCCTTTTGTTGTTCATAGAGTCCTGTGTGTCAGAACTGATTTGATGTTACATAGCATCAATGGTTAGAAATAATTAAAATATGTTTCTCATAAATTATCCAAGAGTGATCACAGAAAAAATAAAAGAAAGAAACTAGAATGAAAATAGTAAGCATATAAACCAAAAGTGATAATAGTAAGGTGTTATAAAGCTATGAAGTACTACTTGTATAAATATACAAAATAATAATTATCATATGATCATTCATGATACTTGATACTGAATATTCTCTATATTAAAATTATCCTTTTATATTTAATTTATTCTTTTTTAACCAAACAATCTGATTTGAATATTTTTAGGAGAAATGAAAGAGTTATGCCCACCTCCTCCTCTCATTCCCAATACTCGAAGTATGACGATGACAGTGAATTATAAGGATGGAGAGAAAATATCTATTCTCTGTCAAGAAAATTACATAACTCAAGAAGCAGATGAAATCGTGTGCAGTGGTGGGAAATGGCAGTCAATACCACGCTGTGTTGGTTAGTACTTCATAACTTGAACATTCTTTCAGAATGAAGTTAATACTCTACTGTGCTTTGCATACATCTGTTATTCTCTATAGAAAACAGTAATTACAATCTGTGTGCCCAAATTAATCAACATTCATTCACTTATTCTGTGAAATAAAGACAGAATACTCAGGAATATTATTTAAATATCAGATAAACTTTTGTTGTTATTTTATTATCATGATGAAAAGGATAAAAATGATGGGGGATATTTAACAAGAGACTAGTACCATAGATATTATTTTTATATACATCTGAACACAGATACTCACGTGGTACTACATTAACTTATATCTGTGAAGATGGCTTCAAGCTTTCTGAAGAAAATGGGGTAACATGTCACATGGGAAAATGGAGTTCTCCACCTCAGTGTGTAGGTGAGGCATATGTCAAGTACAAATCTATTTTCATAATAATTGATTTAAAATTATCAGTTCCCATCAAAGGCAAAAGACAATATAGTTTAGATATTTCATGGGATTGCTTATATACATTATAATTAAAATTTAATGCATGAGTAAACAATCTTATTTTTGTTAAATTCATTGGTTCATTATGGAATCACTTTAAACTCTGGCATTTATTTTACCTTGAAATGTGATGTGTGGTATAATTGAGTCTACCTATGTATAGTATAGGAGTCCTGGTGTGGCGCTGCTAGTTAATGCGCTGGACTGCAAAGTCGATTTGAACCACAAGGTTCAAACTCACCAGCCACTCCTTGGAAACCCTATACAGGGTCACTATGGGTCGAAATCGACTCAGTGGCACTAAACAACATTTATAGGGTAAGAAGCCTTGGATTATAGTGGATTGTGAGTTGGACTGCTAACCACAAAGTCAGCAGTTCGAATCAACCAGCCACTCTGCAGGAGAATGATGAGACTTTCTGCTCCTGTATGAGTCAGAACTGATTTGGTGGCACACAACCAAACACCACCACCACCACCATTCCTTACAGAGCCATCATGAGTGAGAATTGACTTGATGGCAGCTGGTTTGGTTTGGGTTTTGTCATTTATAGAAGTTATAGCATTTGCTCTGTCAACTAGCTTGTTTACATTAAAAAATTGGTATTTTTCCTAAAACATTTCTTCTAATTTGTTAGAGCATAAAGGTATGTCTTTTTAAAGATCATTCCTCTTCAATGCTTTTCCCTTTAACACTAGTGATTGGCAAAGAATCATTGGCTGTATTCATAAGTGTTCTCTAAGATTTTAATATCAAATTCTTTATTAGGTTGTGAGAGACAGCAGAATGGTGAATTTAGAAAATGTTTGAATACCTTCTTTGTGATATGATAGTAGCTCCTGTGTTTCCGTTTCTTTTCAAATAAAATGACTAAATAGTATATAATATTACATTTCAGAAGAAGTGAAACATGAATGCATTATTTTACTGTTTATCTGTTGTTTTAAAGGACTACTTTGTAAGCTACTACCTATGATTTCTGATGGTGTTCTGTCTCATGAGTTAGACAGCTACCAGCATGGAGAAAAAATTACCTACAGGTGTACTGATGGTTTTGGGATTGATGTAGGAGGAAAATGGTCTCACCCAACAAAATGCATCAGTGTGTATCTTGAATGATTTTAATTTAAAGTATATTCTATTTCATACTATGAATGATGTTGCTGTTGTTAGGTGCCATCTAGTATGTACTGACCCATAGCGACCTTATGCACAGCAAAACGAAACACTACCCGGTCCTGGGCCAACCTCATTACCATTGCCACCATGAGTCCATCGATACTGCCACTTGGCCAATCCATCTCAATGGTTGTCTTCCTCTTTTTCTCTGACCCTCTGAATTGCCAAACGTGATAGCCTTCTCAAGTGACTGGTCCTCCTGACAACATGTCCCAAGTATGAGAGACGAAGTTTGGCCATCTTGGCCACAAAGGAGTACTCTGGCTGCACTTCTTCCAACGCAGATCTGTTGGTTCTTTTGGCAGCCCATGGCACTTTCAATATTCTAACTCAAAAGCATCAGTTTTTCTATGGTGTTCCTTATTTACTGTCTAGCTTTTACATACATATGAGGTTATTGAAAATACCATGGCTTGGGTCAGGCGCACCTTAGTTCTCAAGCTCTGACATCTTTGCTCTTCAACACTTTAAAAATGTCTTGTACAACAGATTTGTCTAATGCAATATGTCATTTGATTTCTTGACTGCTGTTTCCATGTGTGTTGATAGTTGATCCAAGAAGAAGGAAGTCCTTGACAACTTCAATCTTTTCTTTGTAGATAAGAATGTTGTTTATTGGTCCAGTGGTGGGGATTTTTGTTTTCTTTACATTGAAATGTAATCCATACCGAATGCTGTGCTATTTAATCTTCATCAGTAAATATTTTAAGTCTTCTTTATTAGTGGGCTCATAATATATGTCCTTTTGTGATTTGCTTATTCCACTCAGCATGATGTCCTCCAGGTTCATCTACATTTTGAGGTGTTTTGCAGATTCTTTATTATTCTTTAATGTTTCATAGTATTTCATTGTATGTATGTACCATAGTTTGTTTATCCATGCATCTGTTAATGGACACTTAGGTTCTATCTTTATATTGTAAATAATGTAGCAATGAACACAGATATACATATATCTATTTATTTCCTGGCTCTTGCTGTTTTTTAGGATATGTACCTAGTAGTGAGATTGCTAGATCAGTTGATATGTTTTCAGTATTTTAAAGAAGCACCATACAGTTTTCCCTAATGTTGGTACCATTTTATAGTCCTACCAGCAGTATTTGAGATTTCCAGCCACTTCACATCCTCCCCAGCATTTGCTGTTTTCTTGATTTTTTTTTTTTTTGCCTGTTAATGCTGGAGTGAGATGAAATCTCATTGTTATTTTGTCTTGCCTCTCTCTGATGGGGTCACAAGCATTTCTTCACGTATTTGTTGGTCACCTGAATTTATTCTTGGTAAAGTATCTGTTCACATTCTCTGCCTATTTTTCTATTGGAATGTTTGTGTCTTTGTAGTAGAGGTATTGAAGTTTTCTATAACTTTTGAAGATTAGTCCCTTGTCTGATATATCATTGTTAAACAACTTTTCCAATTTCTAGATTCTCTTTGCCCTCTTTAGAAGAAGTCTTTTGGTGCACATAGTGTTTAATTTTTAGAAGCTCCCAGTCATATAGTTTATCTTCTGTTTGTGCAGTTTTTCTTATGTTTGATAGTCTATTTATACCATATATTAGGGCCTCTAAGTTTGCTCCTAGTTTTTCTTTGATAATCTGTATAGGTTTAGTTTTACATTGAGGTCTTGTATACATCTTGAGTTTGTTTCTTTATATATACTATGAGGAATTAATCTTATCTCATTTTTATGCAAATGATATCCAGTTTTGTCAGCACCATGTATTATAGAGATTGTTTCTAATGAATTACAGCAATTTGTGGAAGATCAGCTGTCCACAGATAGATGGGTTTACTTTTGGGTTCTCAGTTGTGTTCCATTTTTCTCTCTGCTTGCCATTGTACCAGTATAAGGCTTTATTTATTTGGTTTTTTTTTTAAACTTCCCCCACGACCTCTGAAATTAGGCTACCTTTTGAAAGCTTGTAAACCAGTCACTTTGTGCCTTTGTAACCACCCCCCATTTTGAGTAGCCAATGTCTAAATTGCCCAACCCTGTCAACCCTGTATACTGAGGAGGTGGGAATGATCCTTGCTGTAAAGATTCGTTCTCTCTTTTAAGCTACTACATCCATAAATATAGGTCATGCTCATCAAATTGTAGCAGATTACTGGGTTTTTTTTCCTCTTTTTTCTTCCTCTAGTCGAGTTCTGATCATCCAGCCAATGAAAGTTGGTTAAATGGGTACTGTCTGCAAGTATGACCATTCTTGTGCATCTCCCCTCACTACATATCAGCTGGACGCTTCACTGTCCACTCTAGTCCTTTGTGACTTCCCTGTCTCTGGGCTTAGAATTCCCCTGTACTGCTGGCCAATGAGGGCTCAATCATGATTGACAGGAGTCTATTGAATGTGGTCGGACTTAGCGCACATCTTCATTGCTATTTTTCCCCCACTTCCCCTTATTGGTAAACCAACGTGGACACCAGCAAGATTACATGCTAACTCATGTATTCCTTTTGAGTTTCAGTCTTAGAAGAGGGTATTTCCTGAGGGGACTTGATTGTTTGCCTTAATGGTTTCCCATTGAACAACTTGCTGGTTCTTGTAGTAGTCAATCAGACTGCCATTATTGTTTTTGATTTTTCCTGCTGGTCTTTCTTTCACAAAGTATCTTCTGTTCTTCTAGCAGCTCCAAGCTGGTCTACTTGTCCTTTCAAGTGGCAAGTTCTCACCTCAGAAGATTCTGGATGGAGTTCAGAATTCCACCTATGGTCTTATGCAATGCAAAGGGTCCACAGAAAGCCTCTTTCACTCAGCAAATTCTAGCCCCTTTAAGGTATTCTAATCAGTTATAGACTGAATAAGGATTTACAAGCTTTCTATTGTGATATTTCTGGCTATTCCTTTCTCTCCCCCTCAAGTGTCTATTTTACAATGGTGTGCAAGGGAAACCAATATTCAAAAGACAGCCAAGCATCTTAAAATTATTTCCCCTTTATTACCATATTCCACAGTCTGCCCATGCCCTTGTTTAGCTGATGATATTGAGCTTTTCTGTTGCCTCGTCCTACAGATGTAGTCTGTTTGATTCCTGAGTATTAAATCTGATGTGGTCTAAGTGGATAGTTGACTTTTATGTGATTTTAAGAAGGTGTTAACAACGAATAAATCGTTGGTCTTGCAAAATTCTATCATTCAATCTATCATTAAGGCCATATTTTCCAGCTACTGATCCTTATTCTTTGTTTCCAACCTTTGCATTCCAAGCATCACTAATTATCAATACATCTCAATTACATGTGTGATCCATTGCAGACTAAAGAAGTTGGCAGAATTATTTAATTTCATCATCACTGGAGTTACTTGGTTATTGCATAAATTTGAATAATTGTGATTTTCCTTGTAGGTATCTAGAAAGTGTCCTATCACAGACAGCATTATACTTCAAGAGAGATACTGAAATATTCTTTTTGACGTTGAATGTAATGCCATTCCTCTTCAATTTGTCTTTCCTGGCATCGACAATATGGACAATACCAGTTCATTTTAGCTCACAGACGTCTAGGATATTAATCTTTATGTGTTTCATTTCATTCTTGACATCTTTCAGTTTTCCTAGATTGATATTTTCCATGGTCAGAGATTACATGTTATGACTATAAATGGATGTATACAGCTGTTTCTCCTCATTTTGAGTTGTGCCCTATTGGCAAATGAAGGACCCCAAGCTTTATTTCATTCAAGTTGTCAAAGTCTATTTTGAGGAGGCGGCTCTTCTCCAGTTGTAGTTTAAGTGCTTTCCAATTTGAGTGGCTCATCTTCCGTCATTATATCTGACAGTGGTCTTGTGCTATTCATATGGTTTTCTTCTTCTGGTACTATAGATGACAATATACTGTGAATTTTTAAAAGATTTTCAGTGACTAAATATTGAGAAGTAGTCTGCCTCTCCTTCTTCCTAGTCTTTCTTAGTCTGGAAGCTCAGCTGAAACCTGTCCACCATAGTGACCATGCTGGTATTTAAAATACCAGTTGCATAGCTTCCAGCATTGTAGCAACACAAAGTCACTACAGTATAACAAACTGACAGATGAGTGGTGGATCTCATAGGTTGATTTTGCCCAACTCAAATGCTGTACAATTTCCAATTTGCTTGATTGTTTTCACTCAAGTAGTTAGATTTTATAGTTCATATTGAGTTTATCACTGTTATTTTTAGAAAGGCTAGTCAAATATAAAGGAGTTCTGGTAGCATAGTGATTACAAATCGGGCTGCTAACCTCAAGGTCAGCAGTTTGAAACTACCAGATGTTCTGTGGAAGAAAGATGAGGCTTTCTGCTCCCATAAACATTTTCAGCCTTGAAAACCCTGTGCAGGGTCACTATGAGTTGGAACCACCTCCATAGTACTTAACAACAAGTCAGATATAAATTATTCTGGAAGTCTTTTTATGCTCTTGGTTGTTAAGTGCTGTAGAGTCAGTTCTGACTCATAACGACCCTGTACATGGTTTCCAAGGAGCATCTGATGGGGTTGATCTACTGATCTTGTGGTTAGCAGTCTAATGCTTATCCTACAGCATCACACCAGAACTCCAAATCATTGGGGATTTCAGTCCACCCAGTGGTGGTGGTGGTGGTGGTTCTGAGTCTTAGCAACCCTGTATAGGATTTCTGTGACTGTAAATCTTTCTCTTGAGTAGTAGCTGCTGGATTTTAACTTCTGACCTTGGGGTTAGCAGTCCATCATGTAAGCCACTACGTCACCAGAGTGCTTTGTCTTTCTTCTGTATGATTTCAAAAATTTTAAGGCTTGAAAGTAGTGTAGTTAAAATTGATGAACATTATTGCTGTTGTTGTTAACTACCATCAATTTGGTTCCAATTCATCGTGACTCTCTATAGGGTTTGCAAGGACCACTGATGGGTTTGAACCACCAAGCTT